AACGGATCGAGAATAGGAGGGGACCGGGGAGAGCGTGAGGATGGCGATTAAGAGGAGGAGGAGGGATTTGGGGGAGAGAGTCGCCATGGGTTGAGAGTGATTACGATGGAGGACAAGGAATTCAGATCTCATCTCATTTCTCCGTCATCAACGAAAACAACCTGAAGCTTATAACTTCACGGGACTTCCAGTCCCGTGAAGGTTTGAGGCTCCTAATCAAAGTTGGCTATGAGTCCTTAAACTTCACGGGACTTCAAGTCCCGTGAAGTTTTTTAAGTTTTTTCGCCAAATTCGATCCAGTTTCAACCAGTTGACTGAAATTAGGTCGAATTTGGTAAGTATTTTGAAAATATGTCGTTTTTTGCAAATAAGTTTCTAAAGAGGTCTAAAACAAAAAATTGTCCAAAAATAAAATCCATATTTTCTGTTACTATCTTAATATCAATATCAATACCAACATATATCTTAATTGCATGGCGAAGGAAGTATTTCTAAAGTAACAAGCAACTATAATAAGATACAAGGTTCTTTTTAATCTCTTAACTCTTTCATATTTGAAATTAGTATCTCAATCATTGAAATATGGTGGTCCGATAGAAATTTCAATGATTTAAAGGAATAATTTCACAATAACTTAAATATGAGGGACCTAACAGCAATTTTGACTACTTGAGAGGCTAATTTCAAATTATCAAACATGCAAGGGAATAATACGAAAAAGACCCAACAAACAAACTGCTAGAATTTCCCGCGCATCAAACAACAAACGTCAAAATTAGAGCCTTTAATTTCCTTTTTCAAAAAAAAAAAAATGGAGTCTTTAAAATCTCCGAACGATTATTAAAAAAAATGGAGTCTCATTCTCAAAACAAGAATCCAAAGCCGCGCCCTCTCCCCCTTTAAAAGAAGAAACCCCCAAAACCCCAAGATGTCTTCTTCGATCTCAAACCCTAGAAACCCTAACCCCCTCCAATGGACCGTCCACCCTCCAGGCTACGATCCTGGGCCTCGTTCGGGATCCATGACGCGCTCGGCGAACCCGAGACGGCTGGTTCGTTTGGGAGGAGAATCGACGACGATGGAGTCGGCGACGGGGGCTGCGACGACGAGGAGGAGCTGAAATGGGCGGCGATCGAGAAGCTTCCGACGTACTCGAGGGCGAGGAGGGGGGTTTTGCTGCAGGAGGAGAGGGCGGTGGAGGTTGATTTCGAGAGATTGGGATCGTTGAATAGAAGGATTCTGATTGACAGCGTGTTGAGGGCAGTGGAGGAGGATAATGGGAGGTTGTTGAGGAGACTTAGGGCTCGGATCGATGGGTATAGTTCTTCCTTTCAATTTTTTGGTATTTTTTACGAGGGTTCGTTGCCAATATTCCTATAAAATTCAAAGTTAGGAGGGCTCGGATCAATGCGTCCCCCTTTTTATTTTGTACTACCGTTTACTGAAATTCAGTTGCTAAGATTTTATTCCTCGTGATAGGAAATATTCATGAGTATTTTGATATAATATTCTTACAATTTCGGAAATATACAGTAAGTTTTCTTATGAGATTGTTGGACAAAAATTTTGAGCTAACCAAAAAGGGACTTTTGTTATTTCTTCTATCATTAGCAGAAACAAAACATGAATAATCTACAGACATTGTCGGCCAAAAAATTCCTAAGTATTTAGGATTCATTTGAAATATTTGTAAACTAACTATAATACAGATTTCCTTGAACATCTAGATGAGAAACTGACATTGACAAATAATGGGTAAAAATGGGCTTAGACCCCTTGTTTGATTGTGTCTTGCACTTGTCCATTTGCTCAAAGTTGTTTTCGTCTGGATCCTAAAGGTCTAAAGAAATTTGGTTTAGTTGCAAATAAATGAGTTACAAAGGCATACCTTGGATGTCCTTTCATTTAGGATGAAAATGCCCTAGCTTGTTCGTGAATATGAGGAGTTTGAGAGGGGGCTAAACATACTGGATTTAGGATTATAGAGATTGTGGTTTGTAGCTAGAAGAGGTAGAAGAGAATGTAGTGGTAATAGTAGCAGTAGTACTACTACTACTACTACTAATCATCATCATCATCGTCATCATCATGAAGCCCCTTTATGTTCTCTCCCTTATCATTGATGACTACGCAAAGGCATCTCTCATTAAATGTTTTGTGTACGCATCTGTGTCTACATTTAAGTATCATCGGAGACAGACAATTTCATTTTGATCTGGGGATCTGGATAAAATCTTTTTCTCAAAAGGCTAGTGTGAAATCAAGGTCAAAGGAATGGGTCTAAAAAAAATTCGCGAGAAACAATTTGACGGAGGCAGAGAAATTTTATGACTGCATGCTATGATCATGAACAAATGTTTAACTGTACTTTGAAATAATTTGAACAGGGTTGGGATTGAGCTTCCAACTGTAGAGGTACGATTCGAGAAGTTGTCAGTGGAGGGAGATGCTTATGTGGAAAGTAGGGCGCTTCCCACTCTTGTGAATGCCACCTTGAATACAGTAGAGGTAATACTCCTAACTGTTCTCCATATCTTTTTCACTAGATATGTACCCATAAACTCCCTGTGCTTTAATTATATTTCTCTTTATTGAAAACTAATGAATGTTTGCAACTTTACGCGGTAAACTTCCTTTTGAATTTTAGTGCCACTAGAAGAAATTAGTGGAGCTTATGAACCTGGGAATTAAACAAGGTTTCCAGCTAAAGGAAATCGTTTTTCTTTTTTAAAACTTGCTGGACAAATATAACAGATTGGAAGAAAAGCTGTTTTCTCTGTTGAATGACATTTTCTTTTTTTTTCTCCCTTTTATGGGAAGCAACAATGCACAACAGTCAGGGAAAAAAATTCTTCACAAAAGATGGTTTTGAATGTGCAGTGTTCCACCATATGAAGAAGATACAGTATTGCATAAGAATAAGACCCATGTCTCATCAAAAGAAATCCCTAGGTGAAATGTATGCCAAAAAAAAACTAATACTATTACCAGACACGGGCCATTATTACTTGTGTAGCCATGCACTTCAGCACTTTCCAATAGATAGTAAATTTCCTTGTAAAAAAATTAAAAGCTACAAATATTAATGAAGGTTATTAATCCTTTTATTTTACACCTTACATCAGAATTGTCAATATAATTTTTAGCTTTCGTCAGCACTTTTCTCCTTTAAATCTAAAGTAATAGCATAACTGTTACATTAAGCCTGTTATTTATGGATGCCAAAAATCTTCATGCTTATTTCTTAAGTAGAATTATCACCATATGACAAAGGTTAAACAGAGAATTTCCATTCTTATTTCCTATGCTGTTCTGCAGGGAATACTCAGGCTTTCCACATCTAAGAAAAGGACTGTGAAAATACTTTCTAGTGTAAGCGGAATTGTGAGGCCATCAAGGTATTTAACTGAAAAAACTCTCTTTTCTCATGATTTTTCATAGCATCTTTTTCCAGCATTTTCACCTAACCTAAGCTGTAAAATTTATGATTGGATACTCTAGTTGTTAATTTGGGGGTGGATACCAACCTCCTGTCGGCGACGAAGCTCCGACGAGCTTGAGGAACCGCGCAGATGAACGTGGGTGTCGACGGCGAACTCCAGGCTCAGTTCGAGATGGAGCTCGAGCAAGCGAGCTTGAATATGGCGTTACCGACCCCCGCGTCTCAGAGCTCCGACGTCCGCGTTCTTGGCGCTCCGACGTCCGCGTCTTGGCGCTCCCACTCTCGCGTCCAAGTGGACAGGCTGTCGCCAGCCTGTCAACGCTTCGCCTATAAAACCCCCCCTTTCCCGATGCCCTAGGTGTGCTGAGCTTTTCCCCTTCTTCCGATTTCCTCTCTGGCGGCGGCGGACTGCCCTAAAATCACAGCAGCGATTTTTGATTAATCTCCAGCTTTCAACAGTGTTTGAGGAGAGATTTAAGAAGAGAGAGAGAGAGAATTAAAGAGGGGTTTTATAGTGGGATATTCTTTATTCTCAAGTGAGATTTGAAAGGGGTTTATTCCCTTTAATTATTAACACTGTAGCTACAGTGTTCATTTGAGAAATCTCAGTTTTGGGATTTGCTCTTGATTTGTAATTTCTTGTTTGATTAATAAGAAATTGACTCTGTGGCTCCCGAGGACGTAGGTAGTTGTCGAACCTCGTAAATCTTGGTGTACTTTTTCTATTCTGTGTTTCTGTTGCATTAGGGATTTCGGCGTTAGATTCCCAACAACTGGTATCAGAGCGTGAAACGATCTAGAGAAAGTCAGATTCAAATGGGAGCCATGGCCGCAGATGAAGGAAAAATGAGACTTGAGAAATTTGATGGAACAGATTTCGGATTCTGGAAAATACAGATAGAGGATTATCTGTATCAGAAAAATCTGTATCAACCACTATCGGGGAAGAAGCCAGATTCTATGAAGGCAGATGAGTGGAACCTTCTAGATAGACAAGCCATTGGAGTTATCAGATTGACGTTGACTCGCAATGTTGCGTTCAACATAGCGAAGGAGAAGACCACGGCGGGTCTTATGGCAGCACTCTCAAACATGTATGAGAAGCCATCAGCCGCGAACAAAGTTCATTTGATGCGGCGGTTATTCAATCTGAAAATGGCGGAAGGCGCGTCAGTAGCACAACACCTCAATGAACTTAATACGGTTACAACCCAATTGAGTTCAGTTGAGATTGAGTTTGATGAGGAAGTTCGGGCGTTGATACTGTTGTCTTCCCTACCAGAGAGTTGGAACGCTACAGTCACGACAGTGAGTAGCTCGTCTGGAAACAAAAAGTTGAAGTTCGACGACGTTCGTGGTTTGGTTCTCAATGAGGAGATCCGACGGAGAGAGACGGGTGAAGTTACAACCTCTTCAGTATTGCATACAGAGTCAAGAGGTAGAAATTCAACCAGAGGGAACGGACGAGGCAAATCAAACTTCAGGGGTAGATCAAAGGACAGGAGATCCAAGTCAAGAAATCCAAGCAACAGCTTGAAGGCTATCGAGTGTTGGAATTATGGAAAGACCGAGCATTACAAGAATCAGTGCAAGAGTGCACAGAAAGAGAAGGAGGCGAAGGCAGAGGTGAATGTTACTTCCACTTCAGGAGGAGACGACACATTGATATGCTCTTTGGAGAGCAAGAAGGAATCTTGGGTGTTAGATTTAGGAGCGTCGTTCCATGCTACCTCTCAGAAAGAATTCTTCGAGAAGTATACCCCCGGAAATCTTGGATACGTATATCTTGGTGATGATCAACCATGTGCTATTGTGGGCAAAGACGTGGTGAAAATTAAGTTGAACGGGTCAGTATGGGAGCTGAAGGATGTCAGGCATATTCCCGACCTGAGAAAGAACTTAATATCCGTAGGTCAGTTAGCTGGCGAAGGATATATCACGACTTTCCATGGAGATGATTGGAAGATCTCAAAAGACGCAATGACAATTGTCCGAGGCAGGAAGACTGGTACCCTATATATGACAGCAGGTGCACGTTGTTTGATCTCAGTTGCAGCAGACAATGAAACTTCAAAGCTGTGGCACCAGAGACTCGGTCATATGAGTGAGAAGGGGATGAAAATCATGCATACAAAGGGAAAACTCCCAGGACTGCATTCAGTGGAGATGGATATGTGTGAAGAATGCATACTCGGAAAGCAGAAGAGAGTCAGCTTTCAGACAAGTGGCAGAACCCCCAGGAAAGAGAAGCTAGAGCTTGTTCACTCAGATGTGTGGGGACCAACAACCATCGCGTTCATTGGTGGAAAACACTACTTCGTGACTTTTATCGATGATCACTCTCGGAAAGTGTGGGTCTACTTTCTGAAGCATAAGTCAGAAGTATTTGATGCTTTCAGGAGATGGAAAGCTATGGTCGAGAATGAGACCGGTCTGAGAATAAAAAAGCTCAGGACCGACAATGGCGGTGAATATGAAGACACCGGATTCAAGAAGTTCTGCTATGAGCACGGGATCAGAATGGAGAGAACCGTACCCGGCACGCCTCAGCAAAATGGTGTAGCTGAGCGGATGAACCGAACGTTGACAGAGAGAGCCAGAAGCATTCGAGTACAGTCAGGCCTACCGAAGCAGTTCTGGGCAGAAGCGGTCAACACAGCAGCTTACTTGATCAACCGAGATCCATCGGTTCCATTGGAGCACAGAATACCAGAGGAGGAATTGTGCGGAAAGGAGGTAAAACTCTCACATCTTAAAGTTTTCGGTTGTGTAGCTTACGTGTATATTAGTGATCAAGGCAGGAATAAGCTTGATCCCAAGTCAAAGAAATGCACTTTCATCGGCTATGGTGAAGATGAGTTCGGCTACCGCATTTGGGACAACGAAAACAAGAAAGTGATCCGCAGTAGAGATGTGATATTCAACGAGAATGTGATGTATAAGGACATGCACAAGACAGATGACTCAGAGAACGAGTCAATATTTATAGATGCAGATGATGTCCCGAGTAACCTCTCGGAAGAACCCAATGCAGAAGGTCCTCAGCCAGAAGAGCCTGTTGGACAAGATGGTGCGCAAGAGCCCGACGCACCAGCTCCGATTTTGAGAAGATCTTCTCGTCCTCCTGTACCCAACAGGAGATATATGAACTATCTGTTGCTGACAGATGGTGGGGAGCCTGAAAGCTATGATGAAGCTTGTCAGTGTGGAGATACGAGCAAGTAGGAGCTTGTCATGAAAGATGAGATGAAGTCCCTTATCTCAAACCAGACGTGGGAACTAGCTGAGTTGCCCACGGGCAAGAAGGCACTCCACAACAAATAGGTGTACCGGGTGAAAGAGGAGCAGGATGGTTCCAGAAGATATAAAGCCCGACTGGTTGTCAAAGGTTTCCAGCAGAAGGAAGGAATTGACTACACCGATATTTTCGCTCCAGTGGTAAAGCTAAATACTATCAGGACCGTGATGAGTATTGTAGCAATTGAAGATCTTCATCTCGAGCAGTTAGACGTGAAGACGTCGTTTCTTCACGGAGATCTAGAAGAGGAGATATACATGCACCAGCCAGAAGGTTTCTCAGAAGAAAAGAAGAAGAACCTGGTGTGCAGACTCAAGAAGAGCTTGTATGGCCTGAAACAAGCCCCAAGACAATGGTACAGAAAGTTTGACGGCTTCATGCACAAGGAAGGTTTTTCAGAAGTGCAACGCCGACCACTGTTGCTACTTCAAAAGATATCAGTCCAGTTATATCATCCTACTGCTGTATGTTGATGATATGTTGGTTGCAGGAGCAGATATGAAGGATATCAAGAGTTTAAAGCAGCAGCTGTCAATGGAGTTTGACATGAAGGACTTGGGTCCAGCAAAAAAGATCCTTAGAATGCAAATCACGAGAGATAAAAAGAGAGGTCTCTTGCAGTTATCTCAGACGGAGTACATCAACCGTGTTTTGCAGAGATTCAACATGGGCGACGCCAAGCCTGTGAGCACACCCTTGGCCAGCCATTTTCGTCTATCGAAGGATCAGTCTCCTCAGTCAGAAGAAGAGAAAGAGAGTATGGCTCAGGTTCCTTACGCCTCAGCCATCGGAAGTTTGATGTACGCAATGGTCTGTACGAGACCAGATATTAGCCATGTAGTGCGAGTGGTCAGCCGGTTTATGTCGAATCCAGGAAAAGCTCATTGGAAAGCGGTCAAGTGGATTCTGAGATATCTACGAGGCATCACACAGAAGTGTTTGTACTTTGGTAAGGGAGAGGTAGAAGTGCAAGGGTACGTAGATGCAGACTTCGGCGGTAAAGTCGATCACCGAAGAAGCACCACCGACTATGTATTTACCGTTGGAACTACAGCTGTTAGTTGGATGTCACAGGTACAGAAGATTGTTACCCTATCTACTACAAAAGCTGAGTATGTTGCAGTGACTGAAGCCAGTAAAGAGATGATATGGCTTCAGGGTTTGTTGACAGAGAAAGCTGAGTATGTTGCAGTGACTGAAGCCAGTAAAGAGATGATATGGCTTCAGGGTTTGTTGACAGAGTTGAGATTCAAACAGGAGAAGAATGTTTTGTACAGTGATAGCCAGAGTGCGATACAATTGGCGAAGAATTCAGCATTTCATTCTAGAACGAAGCATATTGCGCTTCGGTACCACTTTATCAGATCCCTGTTGGAAGATGACGTGTTAAAACTGGAAAAGATTCCAGGAAGTAAGAATCCAGCAGTTATGTTAACAAAGACGGTGACTGTTCAGAAACTGGAGTTGTGTGCAACTTCAGTTGGCCTTCATGCATAGATGATGAGGGCGGAGCCACACAGGAGAGGAGCTTGATGAGATAGCCTGTTGTCGTCGGTTTGGTCTCCAAGTGGGAGATTGTTAATTTGGGAGTGGATACTAACCTCCTGTCGGCGACGAAGCTCCGGCGAGCTTGAGGAACCGCGCAGATGAACGTGGATGTCGACGGCGAACTTCAGGCTCAGTTCGAGATGGAGCTCGAGCAAGCGAGCTCGAATATGGCGTTACCGACCCCCGCGTCTCAGAGCTCCGACGTCCACGTTCTTGGCGTTCCGACGTCCGCGTCTTGGCGCTCCTACTCTCGGCGTGGCTGACGACAGGCTGTCGCCAGCCTGTCAACGCTTCGCCTATAAAAACCCCCCTTTCCCGATGCCCTAGGTGTGCTGAGCTTTTCCCCTTCTTCTGATTTCCTCTCTGGCGGCGGCGGACTGCCCTAAAATCGCAGCAGCGATTTTTGATTAATCTCCAGCTTTCAACAGTGTTTGAGGGGAGATTTAATAAGAGAGAGAGAGAGAGAATTAAAGAGGGGTTTTATAGTGGGATATTCTTTATTCTCAAGTGAGATTTGAAAGGGGTTTATTCCCTTTAATTATTAACACTGTAGCTACAGTGTTCATTTGAGAAATCTCAGTTTTGGGATTTGCTCTTGATTTGTAATTTCTTGTTTGATTAATAAGAAATTGACTGTGTGGCTCCCGAGGACGTAGGCAGTTGCCGAACCTCGTAAATCTTGATGTACTTTTTCTATTCTGCGTTTCTGTTGCATTAGGGATTTCGGCGTTAGATTCCCAACACTAGTGTGCCTATAAATTACTGCTTAGGGCTCTGCATCATATTTTTTTTAATATCAACCTTTTGATCAAAGGCTTGTTAACTAGAAGAGAATGAGAATTGTTCCCTCAAAAGAAAAGAAAAAACCTAGAGAATGGATCTTTTGTTCAATGAATACTCCTCCCTTGATGTTTAACATAAGGTTGGAAAAGAATTAAATTATTTGGATATTTTATACCCCAATCACCTTACTGCAGCTTTAGCAGCACTATCTTAAGGATCTCCACCTAAAAATATGTGGATCAGGAATCATGTAAATTGAAAGTTTAGCCGGTAGTCGAATTTGTTTTGTGAATGATAAACTATTTCATTTCGTCCTGCTGATGTCTCCAAGCCACTTGCATTTCATTCATGAATATTGTGGAGAACGGAGATCCTTATGAATGTATCAAGATTGGATTTTAGACTTACATAGAAAGAAGTTCCCATAGGAGAGAAAGGGAGAACTGAAACCATGTGGTTCAAAAGCTGTTGCCGATAGATTTAGTTGTCCCATTTGCTCGGTTATTGAAACTTTATGATGTATACACTTGATATACCTGAGTGATGGATCCAAAGTTTGGTGTGTGTCCGTGTGCGGGTGCGTGTTGTGTATTTGCATGTTGTGGGTATGAGGGATGTGATTTAGGGCATGAAGAGCGATGACAATGCTATTAATTATAATGTTTGTAGACAAGAAAACATGGCGTAGAAATGTCAATACGTTATTTGAAGTCTGCTGACTGATAATATATGTTAATCGAGCAAGAAACACATTAGAAATGTCAAGCTGATATACTGACAGTTTTACCAAAGACCGCTTTGTGTATATCAGCAGATTCTTTAGCTTCTTAGTTTGACATAGTAGGTAGTGATTAAGAATTCATCAGTCACGCTCACACGCCATAGGAGGCTTGGGATACTTCTAACTTGGTAACTGTTGAATGAATGGTTGTTATTGAATCATAAGTTAAGTTTTAGACATTTACATTTTGTTATTACTCAAAATCTTTTTCCCAGGATGACGTTGCTTCTTGGACCCCCAGGATCAGGGAAAACAACTCTCTTGCTTGCTCTTGCAGGAAGATTAAATAAGAAGCTTGGAGTACGTCATTAAAATCACTTATTCTAGCCATTAAATGTATTTCTTGTATCTGCATGCATCTATTTAGGTACTTCACTTGATTGACTTTTTTCACATTGATGTCACTTTCAGGTGTCTGGTAAAATTACTTATTGTGGCCATGAGTTTCCAGAATTCATTCCTGAGAGGACCTCAGTTTATATTAGCCAACATGATCTTCATAATGCTGAGATGACTGTTAGAGAGACACTGGATTTTTCAGGGTGCTGTTTAGGGGTTGGGACCAATTATGATATGCTATTGGAACTTCTAAGACGGGAAAAGGCTGCAGGAATTAAACCAGATCCTGAAATTGATGCTTTCATGAAAGTGACATCACTGGAAGGTCAGCATACTAATTTAGTCACAGATTATGTTCTGAAGGTATGTTCCTCTAGCTCATAAAAAGAAAAATAGTTGATATACCAGTCAAATTTGTAAAGTTAACCCATCAAGTTTGTGGAACAGATCCTTGGTCTGGATATCTGTGCAGATACTATTGTTGGAAATGAAATGCTAAGAGGCATTTCTGGAGGGCAGAAGAAGCGTGTGACTATTGGTAAGCGTAGCGTATTGCATCTAGGAACTTAGGCCTTAACCCGTGCAAATATTCCATAGTTTTATTTTAAATTGTGTAGTTGGCTAACAAACTGATGTTTTCATCTAACAAAGGCTGTTCATGGGCAGCAACCAGGACCAGAACTTAGGTTTCACCCTTGGACCGGTTGATAAAGTACGTTTTGCCATAATAGGATTTAGCAAAAATTTTATGGTTTCTTATTTCTAAAGAAGTATAAAGACTACGGCAAGGTAATTTTTTAAACAAAATGTGTTTATGCACATGAGATAGTGGTGTTCAAAGTTACTCATTTCACTTTTAATCGAGCATTCAAATTCACATTCCTGGTGGCATATTCGTGCTTGAACTGCCTTTCACACGTATAGATATCTAGTTATTTTAACATCTAATCTTTTATTCCAAAGAGAACATTGGAAAGGAAATAAAAGTGCACTTTCATGTAATTCATTTGGGAATGAAATCATTTTTTGCCTAATTATATTTGTCTACCATTCTTATTTCTCATTGCTGGGAAATAAGTTTGTCCTTATTGTAGAGAATGAGAGAAGGTGAAGTTATTATTCATCTAACCCTAACCACTCTTAAATAGAGATTAGGAGGATATTACAAAGCATGTATTAAATAAAATCATATCCAATCTCATAATATTTTCTATATCTAAATACCATTAATATCAAACACTTCCCCTCAAGCTGGAGCATCTATTACTATATATGTCCAGCTTGTTACAAATCAAAATAAAACAACTAGTTACAAGAGCTTTGACAATGTCATCTTTGTTGGAAATACTTAAAGATGTCAGCAATCAGAAAAGCATGGTAACAGCCAGTAGAAACCCTAGAGAGGTCAGCCGATAGAGAGAAACCTTAGCGGGTCAGCCAATAGAAACCCTAGGCAAGTTAGCCAGTGGAGAGAAACCCTAGGCGGGTTAGCTAATAGAAGCAATGTTAGAATCAACTACATACTTTTGCATCTAACTAGTGTGAGATAAGGAAGAGTGATACTATTCATGATGAAGTGAGGGTTACTGTTCATCAATGAACGATACCATGATGAATAGTGCCACCCCTTTTTTTGAGGTTTTCGATAAAGATTTAGTGAACAAATGATGTAGAAATCAAAGAAGTTGTCGAAGCCGCAGAAGATGTTGTAACCATCGAGGGGAGCAAGAAGGTTATGCAAAACCCCCTCGATAGCCTCGAGATATAGAAAGATGGGAGAAATTGCTAGGATCGAGTAGTTCTGGTACCATCTAGAGAATGAGAGAAGGCAAAGTTATTATTCACCTAATCCTAACCTCTCATAAATAGAGATTAGGAGGATATTACAAAATAAGTATATCATATCCAATCACATCTCATGATATCGCAATAATATCTCATAATATCTCCTAAATCTAAATACCAGTAATATCTAACACTTATATTGTAATTTTATATAGCTTTAAAGTATATTTTGTAATTTTATATAGCTTTCAAGCATATTACACTTATGTTTTCCACAATTCAGTTTAATATTTTTGGACTGTCAAGTCATTTGGCTTCATGGATACTGACAGTTGAAATCAAGGTTGACAGTTGTACTTGATCAATTCTCTTGCAAAACTTTCTTTCTGACTATGATCTTGTTCCATATCTAATCCATTTAACGAAAAAACTCTTACATGGCAATGATGCAAGTTCCTTTGTTCTTGTTCTGGCTTCAGGTGAGATGCTGGTTGGACCTGCCAAAGTATTATTCATGGATGAGATATCAACTGGACTAGACAGTTCCACTACCTTTCAGATTGTGAAATTCCTGAGACAGATGGTTCATGTGATGGATTGTACTATGATTCTCTCTCTACTTCAACCTTCACCTGAGACTTTTAATCTTTTTGATGACATTATCCTACTGTCGGAGGGTCAAATTGTCTATCAAGGCCCTCGTGATAGAATCTTGGAGTTTTTTGAGGGTATAGGTTTTAAATGTCCTGAAAGGAAAGATGTTGCTGACTTCCTTCAAGAGGTAACTTCGAAGAAGGACCAAGAACAATACTGGTTTAACAAGACAGAACCTTACAGATACATTTCAGTGCCAGAGATTGTACAGAATTTCAGCTCTTTCACTACTGGGGAACAGCTTAGGGAAGATCTTAGAATTCCATATGATAAATGTTGTACACATCCTGCTGCACTGGCAGATGTGAAGTATGGAACATCTAGATGGAAACTGTTTAGAGCCTGTTTTTCAAGGGAATGGTTACTGATTAAACGGAATTCTTTTCTCTACATATTTAAAACTACTCAAATAGCAATTATGTCAGTGATAACTATGATTTTGTTTCTGAGGACTCAGATGTATCATGAGACAATTGCCGATGGAGGAAAGTACTTAAGTGCTTTATTTTTCAGTTTGGTAAATATGATGTTTAATGGAATGGCTGAGCTTCAAATGACTGTTCGTAGGCTTCCAGTCTTCTATAAGCAACGAGACTACTATTTCTATCCTCCATGGGCTTTTGGATTATCAATGTGGATCCTCAGGATCCCTCTATCAGTACTTGAATCAGGAATATGGGTGTCTATCACCTATTATGGGATTGGATTTGCTCCAGCTGCCAACCGGTAAAGCTCCATTATTCTATAATAAACACTGAAAAACTTGAAACTATTGATTTTCTTACTGCGTTGATATTTACTAGTTTGGGAAATGAAACTTACCAATATGGATATCTTTCTTTCTTTTATTGTTTATTTTTGTTTCAAATGCCTAATGTCAAGATATATGGCCAACACTGACCTTTAGAGGATTGTATTACAAACATGATCAGGTTCTTTGCGCAGTTCTTGGCATACTTCTTTATACATCAGATGGCTCTTGCTCTATTTCGTCTCCTTGCTACAGTTGGAAGAACTCCTGTTATTGCCAGCACAATTGGAAGATGCGTCTGTCTATTAATGTTTGTACTGGGAGGATTCCTAATTTCCAAAGGTTATTAGTTTCTTTTAGTTGCTATGTTCTTCTATGTTCATGTGGGAGTGAGCTTCCCTCTGATGTTAATCAATAATGATATTTGCTTGTGCCTTGGCTTTTATAGTACTCGAAATGGCATAATAATTATTCATTCTTCTATTTCCGCTTTTTTTGTTCATTGCTTCTAAGTTTATCTTCTATTGAAACTTCAATGCCTGTATTAGTTACTGAGCTCTAGTGTGTTCATATCTAGAATTCTTATGCTTCTTCTCTACCTACAGACAACCTCCTTTCATGGTTGACATGGGGCTACTGGATTTCTCCAATAACGTATGCTCAGAATGCTATATCAATCAATGAATTCCTTGATAACAGATGGAGCATTGTAAGGAATCTCATCACATTATTATGATATTTTATAAAATTGTCTGCTCTCCTGGATCTTAAACATCTCTAGATATAACTGGAGCTATAAAAGCTTCTTTCGTTGGATCCAATATCTGAAATAACGCGGGTTCAGTTTTTTCTGTGTCACAGGTAAATAATGACACAACCATAAATGCATCCACAGTTGGGAAAGCATTTCTTAAATCAAGAGGCATGCAGGTGAAAGAATATTGGTATTGGATATCTATAGGAGCACTCGCCGGATTTTCTTTATTTTTCAATGTCTGTTCTATTGCTGCATTGACTTATCTAAATCGTAAGCTATCACTTCAGTATCATCCTTTTTCTTGGATTTTTACTGAAGTTCCTGTATTTGATATGCACGCTACATGGGTATTGCAGCTTTTGGAAGTTTCCGAACGGTGATAAATGGTAATAGAGAAGAGCCCGAGGGATCATCATCTACTGAACATATGCAATCTAAAATGTCGGAAATGAGTACAACATCTGTTGCACATCTGTTTCGAGGTATGAGATCAGAAACTACTTCTACAGTCTTTATCACTGTCTTTATCCCTCTTCGCATCTGCTCTATCTTGCATATAAATGTTTTTCTACGAATCTCGGTGGCCCTATCTTGCAAATAAATGTGTTCAATGAGACTTGTCTGCAAAGAATGGAACATTGGCGCCAATTTAAAAACCTGTAATATTAAGTTCACAAACTTTGACTGGCCTTATTTATCCATAACCTAACACTATAAATGTCAAAAGGCTCGACATTTGTATACTTTGACTTGTATATTTCTCTGACCCCCCCCCCCCCCCCCGACAACAACCAAAAAAAAAAAAAACCTTGGACTCCACCTGCAACAATATACCCCCTCCTTGCAATCTTGCACGCCGCACCACTCATAAGCACGCACGCTGATATACAATATTATGCATGCATGAACACATACATACACAGAGATATCACACACTTTAGAGGACTGCTTAGCGTTATGATTTATCCACCACTTTTGGGATATATTCAGACTTTTGGTAAGGGTAAGCTGATTTTTGTACTTTTAGTGGACTGGGAATTTTGCATGTTGTGCTATTTACTAGCTTGATTATGATAAAGTTGTGGGCCAATTGTGAGATTGCAGTTGCAAATTACCGTCAAAATTACTAGAGATGTTTTGATTTGCTATTTGTCTGACTTTTTTTGGGTTAGGGGGGCTAGTTAGGGGTGGGGGGCACCTACTTTGCACTTTAAAAGCTGGTTATGGTTGAATTAAGCTCAATTCCAAGGGGAAAACTAGATCAACGCCTCCCTATTTCTTCATTACCTTTTTTATTCTAAAGAACATGTGATTCATGGATTGAGCTCGGTGACATTTACATATTGGTTATGGAGGTCACTTGGCTTATTTCCCATGGATTTACTTTTCACAAAGGATGTTTTTTTAATGCAATTTGCATCTGGATAACTGCATTTACCCACTATGGACCTTACTTATATAGATAACTTTAGAGAGAGGAAAATGTGGATGTGCTTGTCTAGAATTATTCAAGGCCTTTGGTAATATGTGAAAGAAGGCTTAATCTTCTCATCACCACAGGTATTCAATTAGCCGGAGATCCAGTAAACAACACATCTGAGTCTGTTGGTGTTATTTCCTGTGCACTGCGAGAAATGCCATTAACTTTTCAGCCCCTTTCTCTCTCTTTCGACCATGTCAACTACTACGTAGAGATGCCTAAGGTGAGTAAGCTCTCTAAAGAAGATTCATGAAGTTTCAATGGAGTTCCAGAAAAGATTTTCTTTGCTAGTTAGATAAATGGATCATGGCATGGTGGCGAGTTCTGAATTTTAAATGCCTAAACGAAGTTTATAGTCTAAAATTCTGTAGAATTTTTTCTTTTTTCTAAATTTAAGGTGCCCATTGAATTTTACTTGGTTTTTTGTATTCTAACTAAGATATAAGAAGACATTATTGTTGATGATTAAACTGCAACATTGCCGTCAACTGTTGTTGAATATGGATAGGAAGTATTTCTCATTACGTCCTTTTTTGGACTGAAGCCAAAAACCTTTTTTTTTTTTTTTGCTATCATTTCTTTCCAGAACATAATTTTATATTTTTCTTCAAGATAAGTTATGCTTAAATGTTGGTATTGTAACTTTATGAGCTTAATTTATTTCTGTCAGTATGATGTCCTCAATGTCAACTGTCAAGGAGATAACTTTTGGCTTTTTCCGCATTTTTTTAACACTTATTCCAAAATGTGTATTCATATGGTGTAACCCCTAACCAAATTTTTTCCTTCAATATTTAATAACTAAGATTTCTTGGATAATACTGTATTAACAGATAGTATAATAAAGTTGTTTGGTCTTAGTGACACGTCAGTTCTACTTTTTGATGACATAATAATTTTAAGGTTAATAAATGGCAATAACTCTTCTCAGGAAATGAAATCCCGGGGAATTGAAGAAAGCCGTCTTCAGTTACTACATGATGTAAGTGGCACCTTCATGCCAGGCGTCCTCACAGCATTAGTTGGTGTTAGTGGTGCTGGAAAGACTACCTTAATGGATGTCCTTGCTGGGAGAAAAACTACAGGATATACTGAAGGGACGATTAACATTTCTGGTTACCCTAAAAGCCAGGAAACATTTGCTAGAGTTAGCGGTTACTGTGAACAAAATGATATCCATTCCCCAAATGTAACTGTTCATGAATCCCTGATTTACTCAGCTTGGCTTCGTCTTGGTCCTGATGTCAATTTTTATGTCCGAAAGGTACTTCACTGTGATTGTGTTTCATGATAGCGGTAACGTTTTTGCTGCACAAAATCTAAATAGAGTTGTTATAGAAATGTTTTTAATAGGTTTCCTTGTATCATGCCATTATCATTTGGTCACTTGTGGATTAAATTGAAAACTCTCTTTGTCTGAGCAATAATTACTCAATGTATTCTTTATTGTGATTTATTTCCCATTTTCTAATTCCCTTTAGCATTGTTACCGTAGTGTAGTTGTAGCATGGAGTTTTTGCTGCATGAATTCCAAAACCAATAACACACTTATGATTCAGTTGATGCGACCAATATGACTCCGAAATAGCAAAGTAGTAAGTTAGATGTCTAGATTGAAACCAAAGTAATAAATTGACCTACATTTGATTTTTACTCTTTAGTTTCAATTTAATCTTTGACAAAGTCACCTGTTTTGGTTCCTTAAAACCTTATTTTTGCAGTCTGTAAGTGGCAATTGATGCTGTCCTTCAATGGAAGCCCTTCCCCTAGGTTATGAATAATATAGTTATATTTTGAACGCAGATGTTTGTTGATGAGGTTATGGATCTCATCGAGCTTAATCCCTTAAAGAATGCATTGGTGGGACTTCCAGGTGTATATGGTTTGTCGACAGAACAGCGAAAGAGGTTAACAATCGCTGTCGAGTTAGTTGCAAATCCATCCATTATTTTCATGGATGAACCTACAACTGGACTTGATGCTAGAGCAGCAGCAATTATTATGAGAACAGTGAGGAATACAGTCAATACAGGGAGAACTGTTATTTGCACGATACATCAACCAAGTATTGACATTTTTGAATCTTTTGATGAGGTATGCTATGATTTTCTTACTATGCTAGAGTACTGTCATGTTTTACTTTTGTCCTATACGTAAGCAGTACTTAACTTGATTCACTCTGGTTTCAGCTGTTATTGATGAAACGTGGAGGACAAGTCATATATGCAGGAGCTCTTGGCCACAAGTCAGAAGATATTATAAAGTATTTTGAAGTAAGTATCCCTTCTAAATGTTTTACTTGGTTAACTCTAGAATACTTTGTTAATGCTATGGGCCTTAGGAAATAAACTTGTCTGTCCTGGGAACTTTTCAAGATCAACCCATAAAATATTATATATTTATATATTAAAGTCTGAAGTTTCAATATTGTTTTTAAAGACCCTGCCACTACACAAAAACTCCAAAGTTATAGTGAGGGTTATATTTTTATATTCTATCATGCCCCAATAGATTGTGCACCCTTTTTTATGGGCCAAAACCTTGCTCCACATAGTAGTGTCAAATTTTAGAAAATCAAGTTTATATTCATGTCTGATGTAATTTGAACTTGGGTTGCCGTGATACCATCTTAAAGTGCCAACAATTACACCAAAACTCCGAAGTTATGGTGAGGGTTAAATTTTTACATTCTAACCATTGTCAAATCGACAACTCAAAAAAATTTAAGTTGGGTCCAAAGCGCACATCTTTTTCAGTATATACATTCACCTGTTTATGGATATACTTGTGAACTCCCTAATTATTTAATTAGTCCAAATTAGGGATCTTCCCAGTATATCCTGACTGTTAGATGGAGAAATTAACAAGTTGGTTTTGGCATGACTTAAATGACTTTAGGCTCTAATTTGGAACAATTAGGATTTAAGGTGTTAATTTGGACATGTGATAATTTTGGAATTTCATATAGAAAAACCCAATTTAACTAATTTGGCATTTCATTTTTCCTATTTAATGCTGTTTCAGGATAAGTGTAGAGTGTTTTACTCTAGATATACATTATACACTATATATACTCTTATGTTTAGAACAGAACCTGTGGGAGGCAAGAGTATAGTAAAATAGTACATAAAAGTGCGGTCATTAGCTTATCACACACTATAATCAAACATCACTCCACCTGGTTCTATTCAGTTCTCGCCTGTAATTTGGTGGGAGAATTGTAGTTCTCTCTGTAAATGAGTAGACATTCATTGATGGAAATTAGGAATATTGAGAAGGTAATATAACAGGCTCATGCTTGTATGAGTACTAAACGATAGAAATATGAGAACACATCGCTTCAGAAGATATCATTAGCGAAGAGGTAGTACAGTTTATTAGCCAACACGATTATAGTTCCAGGTTAGCATCATTTGATGTCTCACATTGTCTTGGAAGTGTTCAGGCTTGATTAGATGTCAGAGTTTTCAATTTGATTCCCATGCATCATGCAATCCCAGTTGTTAAGGAATTCAGTTCTTCCAGCAACCAAAGCACACTAAAGTTTTCTGTACGAATTTTTAAAATAATTATCTGCTTGATTACTTACGCTGCTCATTTTTCATACTGCTGCTGTAAATGTTTATCCTCCTTTATAATGAGGAAGTGTTCATAACATCATCTGGGTAAAACTTGTATTAAATGGGTTTTGCCCTCTTCTACATTTGTAAGTAGTTCACTTCTTCCAAATTAATCAATTCAGAATGTAATTTTTCATCATTGTTGAATTGGCAGCAATAATTGATGTCTATGTCCAACAAAAATTAATTATTGTATCATCCTTCTGGACTTAGAGCCTAAGTTAATTGTAAATTTTCTTTTCTTTGTCATAGTGATCCATGTGGTATCTGGTAATGCATCATGCAATCTCAGTTGTTAAGGAATTCAATTCTTCCAGCAACCAAAGAACACTGAAGTTTTCTGTACCAATTTTTTTGATAATCCTCTGCTTGATAACCGTAATTCTGCACATTTTTCATAGTGCCGCTGTAAATCTTTATCCTTGTTTAGACTGAGGGAGTGTTCATAGTATCATGCTGACAAAACTCATATTAAATGGGGTTTGCCCTCTTTTACATCCGTATGTGGTTCACTTTTCCCAGATTAATCAATTCAAACTGTTATTTCTTGTAATTATTAAATTGGCAGCACTAATTGATGTCTACGTCCAACATAAAAATTTATTGTATAATCCTTAATGAATTAGAGCCTAAGCTGATTGTAAATTTTCTTTTCTTTTTCATAGTGATCCATGCGGTATCTGGTAATGTTGTTGGGATTAATTGATGTTGAGGTTCTGCAGATCAAATCAACATTTGGTACATTAGTTGCAGATAACTAAGTAGGCTACAGATTTAGAGGAAAATAAAAGAATGATTTGTGATGTCTGTAGTCTCATTGTATTGTCATTGATAAATTACTGACATGAAGCTAGACTTGTACATGGTTAATCAGTAATAATGATATGATATGCTTAATGCATTAAGTTGCACTAGAAAATTCAGGGATCAACTCGAAAGACTTCCAGTGCAATAGTTGATTCACTTGCAAATCTATGTTGCAGGCTATTCCAGGGGTACCCAAGATAAAAGATGGTTACAATCCTGCTACATGGGCGCTGGAGATTAGTTCACCTTCAGTTGAAGCTCGCCTTGGTATAGATTTTGCTGAAGTTTATGCTAATTCATCCCTTTATAAGTAAGTGCGTATGTACAAAAATTTCATTTTTTCAATTTCCGATAATGCAATGATTCTCTTTATACTTCCTTTTCGGAAAGAATAAAAAACTATACTTCTTCATGCTCTCTTTTCAGAAAGAATCAAAAACATATCAAAGAGTTGAGCAGCGCTGCACCAGGACCTAAAGATCTATATTTTCTGACCAGACATTCCCAAAGCTTTAGAATTCAATATATGGCATGCCTTTGGAAACAACACCTGTCTTACTGGAGAAATCCGCAACACAACGGCATCCGTTTTTTGCTTACTATTGCTTTTGGACTTATATTTGGCGTTGTATTTTGGAATACGGGTAACACTATGTAAGTGCAAGCCTCAGCATCCACAGTTTTTTCCATTTTCGTTTTTATGTATATGTTTTTTCAGTCTTACAATGATCAATATAAATTTCATGAGATTAGATAGGATTTGAACACTACAGAAAATTTATTATCATAAACATTAAACATTGTGTGATTTTTAGATTATTATTCAATTAATAGGGGAATAAAACTTTTGTGGCCTCCTTTAGCATTTGTTTCTAACAAAGATGTGTAAATAATGTTGTTCATCTTTGAGTTTCCTTCTAAACTTTCATTCTTTCTTTCTTTTAGGTGCCGTCTGAACCTTATGGTTCATATGGCCATATCTTTTGTTTGGTTCCTGCTAGTCTTCTTAGTTAAAATTCCTTTATATGTAATTTGCAGAAACATAATGCAAAAATGTTGCTCCTCCTGATCTTGTTTTTCTTTCTCATGATTTTTAATGTTAGCATCCATGTTTATAAATGGATACATTGCTAAACCGTCAGTTTGTAGATTTAACTTTTTGACCTAAATTTGTGTAGAAGTAACGTATGTAATATTTTCTGCTTTTAGGTGCCTTAGGATTCTAGATGTACTTATTGCCAAGTGTTAAACATACTCAGAAACATATGGTGCATAAATGATGTTCCAATGTTTTAGGCAAAAAAATTATGCTTTTGGGTGTGTTTGTTTCTCCAAAAATAGAACTATTACCGGAAATAGAGAGACCCTGAACACATGCTAGCATCATATTTTTTTTAAGGTAAATGAACAATTTTTATTCATCATCTGTAAGCATTATATACATAATCTCATCCCAGGCATACCCAGGACTCTACAAAACCTGATAAACTCCAAGCTAGCTCAACATGTGGAGCAGAACAACATAAAACTTGGAAACTTTAAGACTTACAACCATTACAAAGAGTCAACCCAGATTTAAATTCAATAGGGACTGGATTATTATAGACAGCCACAAGAGAGCAAGTCTTAATCGACTTAACAACAGCCTCAGTACTCCTCCTGGATACACCGAATGCAATGGTGCATTCCTCTCAATTCAAATTGCATGAATCGTAGATGCCAAAGCTGCAAAGCACACTTCCTCACCAAACTGATATAACTTTTCCTCCTCCAGTGGATTGTAAACCTTTGCATGATGCCACATACAACTCCTGTGTTTAAACCCCAGCCAATTCATAATATTCGACCATACTTCTGTAGAAAATATGCATTCAAAGAATAAATGATCATGGCTTTCCACATCTAATCCACATAGTAAGCAGCAATTACTTGATATGATCCCCATTTTCATGAGTCTGTCTTGGGTAAGCAGTCTCCTTCAAATCATCAACAAAAATATGAATGCATGCTTTGGTACATTAAGAGAACTCCAAGCCATTCTATACCATGGTGAAGTAGCAATGAGGAACAAATATTACCATAAGCTACAGCTGTCTTGAACTTCCCAGAAGAAGACCATTTTCTGAACTTAAGAAGAGTATTCTCATAAGAACCCCATTTTGCAAAATATGTGCATCTCACTTTCAGGAGTTGTTTCCATGCCAGCATCATCATCTGTTATTCCTTTCTACTTTTTGGTAGAGAATATAGATCACCATTAAACTATGCTAATCTGCATAGTTAATCTAGACTGTGGACCTTGGTGCTTAGTAGACTATACCCAGCTTTATGTTTTCAACTTTTGTGTTTTCTTTAAACAGTTTTTTCTGGTACTGAAGAGCCTAGATAGTTTTGTACAGCTAGCCTTTCCTGTCAGTCCCAACACAACGTGTTTGATTGGTATAACTTCTTTAAATAACTTGCTGAAGGAATTTCAGCATCAGCAGCAGAATCAGGAAAAACAGGTGGCGGTCGACCGGCCCGGTCGACCGACGGCTCTCTGGATTCTTTCGGGGTTCTGCTGGAGGTGGTCGGTCGACCGGGTCGGTCGACCGGAATTGATCGCGGTCGACCGACCCGGTCGACCGACGAAGCGGGTTTCAGTTGGTTCAGGTTTCCAGACCCGTTTCGCTTGGGAGTTGTATAAATACCCTAAACTCGTTTTTAGGGTTAGAGTTTGGGCGATTTTGAGCTGAGCAAAGGGAGATTTGAGGGCTTCTATTGTTGGAGTCTATTTGAGAGATCTTTTGGTCTTATTTGAGGGTTTTGGGTAAGATTTGTAACCCTAACTTGTACTCCCCTTTGATTTGAATAGTAAAGCTTCCCTCTCCTTGCCCCGTGGACGTAGGCATATTGCCGAACCACGTATATCTTGTGTTTGTGCTGTGATTGGTTGGCTTGCATTGGTTTGTGGTCTACTATTGTCTTGTGTGTGCCTTCGATTTGTCAATTTAGCTTCTTTATTTTTTGAGGTAAAAATAAAGCAAAGCACCAATGTATATTAAACTTCGAAACATACAAAGCAATCGATAGGAGAACAAAATTTCTAAGCCTATAGAAGACCTTACGTCAAGAAGAGTTCTGTGAGGGTGAGGAAAGTAGATAGTCGCCACTCATCACAAGCACAATACAACCTAATTGACAATCCACTAAATAGAAAACCACGTAGAAATTAGACTTCTCCTGCAGCCCCTGGGCAACAAAAGAAGGTATTAATTACAAACAAATTACAGAGATCAAGATGATAATAATAATAATAGAAGCTAACTTAAGTACTCGGTATCATCGGACTACTATACGCCATCCTCGAGCCACTAGCTTGCCTCTCCCTCCTCATTTCCATCAATCCTCTTCTAGGGGAGTGGAAAGTGAGGATCATCCAAAAGAAAATTTAGCTTCACTAATGTTTATTTAATAGAGAGGCACGTCCAGAGATGAAGAGAATGAAGAATATAAGCAACAAGGTCATCTGTTGTGAAGTTCTTCTTGTTGAAAACTTCGGCATTTCTTTATATCCAAAAACAATAAAAAATGTA